ATCTCTGTGAACTGGAAGGTGAAGCCAAAGCCATTGTTTCCTTTATCTACCACTGGATCTTCCTTTTAACCGTAGTGAAATTGCCACTGTACTTAAACACAGTAACCCAGCGCTCAGTGACTTCTTTGATAAAGTACATACCCTTAATGATGGCAGGAAGAGGAAAATTCTGTTTGCACTTCCCATTTCAGTAAGGAACCAACTTATCAACAATTCCCTCAGTATCAGATTTCAACTCACTGGAATTCAACTTTTTGATGAGATTCGTGATGTTGAACCTCTGAAAATACTAAGCGACATTACATCTGGAAAAATTGGTGAACTAATCAATGAACTTACCCTATTCCGTGGTTACCAAAAACGAATTTACTTACACACAGAGCATCCATTTGAGATTGGACCATTGATAACCACTGAGGAAATCAACAAATTTAACCTTAGATATTATCGTATGATTCCCACACTTTAAATATACCGCTCGACTTAACTTCATGTTGGTTAATCGTTCGCCTCACCGTCATTGCTATGGTAACAATCATAATCATAACCTAATCATCCATTTTGTTCCATCACATTACAACTTATTCATGTTCATCAGTTTGAATCTCATATAAAATTCTCTCTAAGACCTTCTCTCCCTCTGTCCTCTGTCTTGTAATTGTAAATATGAGGCTTCACAACAATATACAATCATAGTAAATAAAATAAAATCAATCTTGACTACTCAACGCCTCTCTGTTATCAACAACACATTCTCTCCTTACTCTGATTACTTGCTCTCCCCTCTTCCTGGATATATGACAAATCCTCCTTAATTTTTCACCTTACAATCACATATCAACCATACAAGTCTCTCTCTGTTAAACTCTGAAGAATCTCTGAAGTGTAAGAATGGTCAACATCGGTACTTGGGGTGAAAGAAACTACTGCTTTCTGAACTTCAACAAACAAACTGAACTCATTGTATATCTGAGAAATCAACAAGCCAAAGATACATTTATCAACAATATCAGTTTAGATAATTACCTTAGATTGCTGATCAATAAAGGGTTGAAAGTTAAATCGCTCAGAGTTAAAATTCTGATTCATTCAACCTCGGTGGATGAATTTCTACGCTTACTAAAAGGTAAATCCTGGTGGAACAATCAGCTTATGCAAGTAAAACCCAACCTAAGGGTCAGAAGAGCCTTTGTTGTCTATCATAGAGAAAAATTGGAAAACAAAAACTTCCTTGAAAAGATGGATCAAGATCTCGGCTCGGTTGATATTAATACTATCAAGAAACTTAAGATGGATTAACCAGAATCTCCTTTCATGTTGGAAAAATTGATGCACTGGAAGCCAACAACTGGCAGATTACTATTGATGATGAAAGATACAAAGTTCTAGATGAACTGAAATTTGAACAATGTCCGTGTTGTACGCGTTACTACAAGGTAAAGGAGGTTCATCGATGTGAAGGGAAACCTAAATGCTCCAACTGTGGTAATGCATTAACATCACAGGAAAAAAAAGAACGCCGTTGTGAGAGACAATCTTTCTGTATTCCCTGTGATGAACGAGGTTACACGCCTTGGCATCGGAACAGTCGCGTTAATTACTGCGAAACTTTCGAGAAATGCATCATAAAAGGCAGTAAGAACTCTAGCTTTGACCCTAACAAACCTTTTAGGATCGCTACTTTTACACCAGTAACGAACTAAGAAAGGGGAAGCAAACACAGAAGGAAATGACTTCCAATCAACAATGATTTACCGTCCAAACTGAAAACCCTTAGATAATCAAGTAGATCAGTCAAGAAAATCAGTACTCTCCAAACAATTCATTACAAATCTTTACACGTGTCCACCTGCTGCAAACAAACCTTTCAACGCTGAGAGAAATTGAAACACTGTCATCGCAAACGGTTCCTACTCCACTACATGTGTAACCGCATAAACAACAGTCATCTACCTCGATTGCGTCCATTAGTCGCAAACGAAACACCTCACCGTGCGTATAAGCAAACAGTTAGTGCAAAGTTAATCACCTATACAAGCCAATATATATCTCTTCATACCACTGTGAATGAAAACAACAACATTTCCTGAGTTCATGGAATCCCACAAGAGACTAACTGAATCGCACTGTAGGTGCAACAAGTGCAAACAATTCCAAATCCGCAAAGCTGAAAAAGCAAAGGAAAAAGAAATGGAAGACAAATTCGAAGCAAAATTAAACGCAAAACTAAGTGCGCTTAAAACATCCCTCCTAAAGGACTCTTCGAGCCATGGCGAAACACAAGAGCAGGTGTCACCCAGGGATCGCAGTAAGTGACCTTTGGGTTGACCAGACAAAGGAACAGTTCGAACAGAGACGTCAAAAGATGGACTCAACTAGGTCAACTAAGCACTCAGCAAAAAGCAGAGAATTCTGAAGCGATGCTTCCAGTGAGTCAGACAGTGCAGAAGAATCTGAAAACCCAAACGCAGCCGAAGACGAAGACGCCCCACCACCAAAGAAAGATTAAACGCACAAGCGACAAAAACTCATTTGTAAAAATCATCCGCCAGATGGCGCCTTAACCCAAACCCTAAAACATATAAAAGCAAACCCACCCAAATAAAATTCATCATTTCCTCAATTTTCCTTGTTGTGTAAACATCAAAATCAATCCTTCCAAAATTGTTGGAATTGGTTGAGTTCAATTATTATGTTGACTTTCTTGGAAAGTTACATTGACTTTCTTAGAAAAGCAAAGATAAATTTACCTCAGAAATGGTCAACTTATTTATTGATTTTTAAAGTTGCTAATTAAGGGATAATTAATTCGTTTTTTGTTTAAATAAATCAAACAACAATTAGTTGATTGTTGTAAACTTTCATTTACTATTCTGTTATTTGGTCATTTATAAAATCCCTTAAAATTGGTGTGAATTGTTAACTCAAATTAACAATAAGTAAGTAGATTAACTTACCTTCAATTGATTAACATTATTTAATTACAATTAAACTTTCATTTAAACCTAAATTGTGATTCATTTAAATTACTAGAATTAATAAATATCAACTGGTTATGGGCGCAGTGATGCATAATAACTCAATTGTTAACAATTTCGGTTTGGTTGAAATTTTCAACGGTAAGAATTTTGATGTTTGGAAATTCAAAATGATGAATTGTCTCAAACGGGAAGGTTTGTGGTCGGTTATTACTGGTGAAGAGGATACTGGTGATCAACGAATTTTAATCTATTTCAGAGACGTAATGAATGCTCTTGGTTTACTTTGCTGTTGTGTTGGAGCAAAATATATTTGTCTAATTAAAGAAGCAACAAGTGCTAAGGAAGTTTGGAATATTATGATTAGAACTTTTGAACGTAAAGACTTGGCGAGAAAAATGATTATTAAACAGAAATTGGCAAAATTTACAATCAAGGTAAATCAACCAATAATTGATTCCATTTCCGAATTGGAAAAGTTGTGGTTGATTAACATCATTTAATTACAATTAAACTTTCATTTAAACCTAAATTGTGATTCATTTAAATTACTAAAACCAATAAATATCAACTGTTAGAAAAATAAATCAAGTCCAAAATCAATACGCGCGCAAGCCATAGAAAAAGAAACTGAAATTCCTAACAGTATACAGCCGTGAAAATTGAGTTTGTGCTTTTTTTTAAATCATTTGCGCATCTTGATTAAAATTATTTAAATCATTATGATTATGTTGGTGATTAGATATGTTATCAATACTTTATTGAGTAACCATTTTTTTCAATTACTTCACGTAAACGAGAATTAAATGAATCATAAAATGATTTACAATAATTAGTTAACTGTTTTCTTTTGTTCCAATGATCCAAAACATAATTTTTCATTTGTTACCTATTATTTTGTATATCATGTTCATTTAACATTTCAAATTTAATATCTCCCCAAACATTTTCTATTAAATTCAAGTCAGGGAATAAGGTGGAAGACGAAGAAGAGTACAATTTATCCCATAGAGAGCATTACAACAATTAAACCAATCTCTAGCTAATAGAGAAGTGTGAGCGGGACAATTGTCATCGACCCAATAACATGGATTCGAACCGAATCGACTCTTGATTTGATCAACGCCAACTGTACTCATAATCTCTACGAATGTTTGACTATTAAGTCGTGAATCTAAATCAACTAAAGTCCCTAGGCCTTCGTAAGTCATCGCACCGAATACAGATATTGTTTGTCGATGACAATGGTCTTTTTATGACAATAAATTGGTTCGTAACGTTGGCACCGATATCGTTTCACTAATTTCGTTCCTTGTTTTTCTGAAGAGAAACAAGATTCGTCACTGAAGACACATTTCGTTACGTCAATGTTTTCGTTCAGAACAGCAAATGTTACCCGATTTGATCGACCTTCGTCACTCACTTTAGGTTTTGTACTAGCATTACGAGAAATTAGTCCATTCGATCTCAGGTAACGATTAACTGTTTGAGGTACACAGTTTAACTCCAGTTCTTCGACTATTTTCGTTCCATGTTTGAACGGGTCTTCGATACTCTTAAGTAAAATTGATTCTTTTGATCCATCGGTCAAAACGGAGTTACCTTTACAATTAGTGTAACGAGTATTGATGTTACCTTCTTGTCTAAAACGATTTGCCCAACGACGAACTGTCTCTCTATTTAAATTCAACTCTGTTGAAATGTCGTAATTGTTGTATCCTTCACTTACTAAATTAGCAATTTGAAGTCTTAGTTGGTCACTAATTGCTCTTGGCATTGTAATTAAATCAACTAATTAACAATCAAAATAAGGTAAACAACAATAATAACACGTTGGTAAAATGTGTTACAATTGTTTTCTCCTAAATCTTTTATTTATCTTATAATTTAATCTAATCAATAATTTTAATCAAGATGCTCAAATGATTTAAAAAAAAGCACAAACTCAATTTTCACGGCTGTATATATTCATTGTTTAAGTGGTCGCTCAAAGCTCATCAACGATGACTACTTTAATTCAGCTATGTAATAATAAATATTTAATAGGCATGAATCTTTTTTGCATGATAATCGAGATTATTCAAATCCTTTTGAAGCCAATTATTATTAAAATACAATAATTTTCGTTATTATCAATAGTCAAAAAGTATTAAACAATCATCTTGATTAGATAAAATTTGTAATTTTGTTAATAAATATTTTGTTCCAACCAAATAGTTGGGCGTCAAAATTATTAATAGTTCCAGAATTTGGATGGAGATCGATTCGGGTATCTGGTTTGCAAAACTTGTCCAGAGGATGAATTATCAGCTAAACATTTCATCACATTTGCGATGCTCTTGGTGTCTTTAAATTTATTGTTTTCATCGCAAAACGATTTCTGCATCACTCTAAAATGATCTAATCGATTAATAGCTGAGTGTTTGTCCAGGCAGGTTTTAATTGATTCCATTTTACTGTAAAAAAGGAATGATGGAGTAATTAATTGTCAATTATAAATTGATAATTGTTCAGAATGACTCAGGTCACTTATTTGTAGTTCAATAGTTGATAACTTACCGACACATTAAATCCATTACATTAGCTGATTTATCATTCAATGATAACCATGTACTGGCTGGTGATTCGAAACAATCTTCCAGGCTTGATTCATCTGGATGGTGACTCTGTTCATTTTCATTCATTTGGTGGTTACGTTCATTGTTTGCCCAATCGTTATCTGGAAATATCCACGACTCTGGTCTCAAAATCTTCTTCTGGTCTTTCCATCTTCTTTCTTCTTCCTGTCTTTCTCTCTCTAGATTTCTTGCGATCTCTTCCCTCATTCTTTGCTCTTCATCTGCTCTTCTTTGTTCAGCCTCTCTTTTTCGTGCCTCGATCTCATTCCTTTGTTTCATAGTTTCCATTTCAAACTCTCTGCGTCTCATTTCTTCTTGTCTCTCTTTTCTTCTTCTCGATTCGGCTTCTTCAAGCTTCCGCTGATGCTCTTTTTCAAGTTCTGACCTTTTTCTTTGTTCATTCTTGTAGATAGAGTCGAAATCTCTAATATTCTTTCGATTATTTCTATTGTCTCTATAGTCATTTTCCTCGTTATTCTGTCTTATTACCGAAGGATTAATTCGACTCTCTAGGAATTCAAAGTCTTTATCTTCATCACTTTCTTCACTTTCTTCTTCGTATTCATCTTCCTCTGATTCTTGGCTTTCAATTGATTCCCTCATTTTTCGTCGAAATTCTTCTTTGATTCTTGACCATTGTTCTTCTTCGATATCTATATGGTTGTCATTATGATTGTGACGCGATTCACCTTCTCCGTCGACTTCATGAAGTCTTACCCGCTTTGAATGTTTCATTTTTCCTCGAAAGTCGTTGGTTTTAGTACCGGTTGTAAATCTGTCATCAAAATCATCATTATTTTCATTGTTTCTTGTCGAATCTGGTTGCTGATCTTTAAAGAATCCATCTAAAGCATCATTTTCATTCATTTTTTCAGGAATTGAATGACGAGAACGCTCAGGGACCAGGGACCTGGGTCGACTGTTATTTTCCCGAGTTTTCAAGATGATAGATTTTTCCGAGTCTTTATCGACTGTCAAGTTGTTCATATCGTTTAAACTTTGCTGGTCATTGGAATTGATATTAGTAACATTAGTAAGATGAACAGGTAATCGATTAGGTGACATTTGCTTGGCTGATGAACCGGGAGCAAGTGATTTAGTTTGATCAACAGGACCATTAGTAGCTGGTGGAGGTGATGACAAGGTTGTTGACGATTGTGTTGTTTTCTTTTCGTTAGTTTGATTAAAACAAGGAGTTACCTTTAAACCAGCATCCCAAAGTCCATTAACAAATAGTTTTACATCTGATGGACATTTGTCAAATGAAGATATCTCACATTTAGATATGTCGTCGATAAAATGACACATTTGACCATCAAACCAATTAATCTTCCAGCCAAACCAATTCTGTTTGTGGATATTAGTTGAATAGCAAATCGTAGATGTATCGATTGAATTACTTTTAACACATTTAGATGAATCGATTTCTATTATGATAAATGAGTAAAACAAATGACCGTTTTGTAGTTACAATATTAAATCATAATTGGTGTCAAATAAATACAGTTAAAGTTAAGAAAATCAAATTCTATTTCGAAAATATCATCAAGATGAAAATCAGCAAATCATGATTCTCAATTAGATTATGATTGCAGGTTCACACAAATTTTCAACGACTGTTGCTATTTAATTAAATTTATCAAATTTGTGGTAAATTGCAGCAGATATTTCAATTGAGATGTTGCAAGATGAACAATCATTAATGTAAAAGATTCAGAAACTGTTGATATCATGGACTGAATAAATGTTATTTGATTGTTGCGATTCAATTCAAAGAGCAATGAAAGTTTTAACTATTTTGATCAAATCACTTCTGCTTTAAAATCCATGTCTCAAATAGTATGGATTAAAATCAATTTGTTGACGAGACTCAAGTCAAGGGATTCTAATGAGATGCAATCAAATTGATAATGTATCCCAGAGGGGATTTAAACTAAGATTCTTATTAATAGCTGTAATAGTTGAAAACTAACATTGACCTGACAAGATCGCCTCTAACCTTTGTTTCGTTTGATTAAAAGTGAATAAAATAGCATCTTGATTGGCAATTTCTCATCACCACTGATCTTTGAGCTATGATATTCCTTAAATTGTGTGAATCTGATAACTATGGAAGATACTGCTGATTCTCTTCATTTCCAGTCTCTCTTACCTTAACTGATGAATTTTATTATTTATTTATTTCATATTTCATCGAACTATTCGTCAATTCGATAATGTTTCGATTTATTTTATTGATACTTACTTGTTGCAATGAGTGATGCGTTATTAACATAACTTAACTGAGCTTGGAAAAAGTCCTTAATTGTATTGAAAAATTGTATCTCGGATGCAATCATGCAAGGTTTTATCAATTTCGGAAAACAATTAATAATGTGTTGTAAATCACTATAATTATTTAAAGAGATAAGAAACAGAGTTGACAATTAGAACTTGTAGGAATAAGAATCAATTAGTAAAGTTATTTTTTCAAGAATAACTGTTGCAATTGTAACAATGATGATTATTATTATGTCTTTAATATAAACATTTAGACTGATCATTAAAAAAATATATCTAAATATTTAGTAAAATGAAATAAATCTAGCATTCATTTTACTCATAGTAACTATTGACGATTTTTCTGGATCAAATATTTATATCAATTTTCGCAAATGCTGCGACTCTCAAGCCGAAACAAATCGGGTAAAAGCGGAAATGTTGGCCTTAAGGTGATATCTTGAACCTTCTAATGATAAAGAATGGTTGACAAGAGAAAATCTAACTTACTTGGCTAACGAAAGTTGTCCTGAATCAGAAGAAGATTTTGATTGGGATTTTTTTGATGTTCCAAAACCTGATTGTCCAGAGAAGAAACTGGACGACCCAAAATTACCCGCTCCTCTTTTTACCCTTCCTGATACACCATTGGAACCATATCCACCCCAACCACCAGAGCCTAAATCATTTTGATCACTCGATGGACTTTTTGAACCAGTTGATGGACTATTAAGACATCCATAAAAGTCACCAGTGATTGTTGATTTATCCAGAGAGCTACACTTTTCCAATGAATAATAATCCAATGATTTCGTTAGCCAATTTCCAGATTCAGCTGATTGACCAACATTAATTGACAAACAAACAATTAGAAGGATAAAAATACTCGAGCATTTGTATAAATTTAACATTGTAAATTAATTGATTAGGAACCAATAAAATGGCACCAGAAGAACAAAATAAAAGTTTAGAACTGCAAGATTAGTTTGGTATTGAATTTCACTCTTAACAAGATAATATTAAACGCTGTCAGTAAATTGAGGCGATAAAACAATTAATACAAGTTATATATTCACGATTATCTTTATTAAATCAGAATTCTCATCATCAGATGGATGATTAAGAGTTACAAGGGATGATTAAATTATCTTTGACAATCTATGATAGTTGTTAACCAGAAGCAAACAACAACAACAAAACTTTGCAAACTGATAATTAGTTTTATGACTTAATTGTTATTATTTTGTAATTTTCCCTCCCATATGAACTCAAAAGGAAACAGTAATAAATCAATTTTCCTTAAATCTTGTTTCCATCTCCTCAATTAATTAAACTTGAACCATTTCCATCAATTGAAAGTAAATATTAATGATTATTGACTCGTTTATAGTTGATTTCATCAGATGATAAACAATTTGAATCAAAGGATTATCATCATTAATCTTAACCATTGTCAAGTGAATGTTTTATTGTTGTTTTCTTAACTCATTCCTGTTCCTAAATAATTAACTAATTGCTCTTCACTTTTTCCAACAATTATGACTCTATTATTATATGGTTACTATTTATTTATCTTTTAGATGAATGATAATAGATTAAGTTAATGATTACTCGAGTAATCAGATCTGATCAGGGAAATTGTCATGAATCTAAGTAAATCGTTATTGCGATGTACCAAAAGTTTCATCAGAATTTACTTCTTCCTACGAAATCCATGGAGAAATTAATAGATCTTAAATAATCAGTTCTTGCAACTAATAAGCTCAAGTTTACCACAACAACTGAATGTTGAATTTGTGTCAACCCTTTCGATCTCCATTTGTAATTGACAATTTAAATCATATGCAAGTTATTTTGGTTGGTTGAACATAATATGTTTGTGGCATTGAAATTTTATTGGCTTTGATCATTTGAATTCCATCCGACTAAGTCGGAAAGAGCTGAAAAAGAAAATTTTTTCAAGAAACAAAGAAAATATTGTAAATAAAAAATTCGTTAACGTTGACAAATCTTCTTTTCAAAGATTAAATGAAAACAAAATCAGTTTGAATCACTCATCACATGGAAAACTATCACTACAATTGTATTAGTGTTATAAAATTTAATGGACTCAATGACCTTAATTTTGATATATGATCATTCAAACAATTTTAGTCTTGAAACGAGCCTACTTTATGTTTCTTTTACGTCGAGCTCCTTTTTTCATCATATGCTCTACGACAATTAAACCATGAAGATGAAGAGATACGAATTTGCATCAACAAGAGTTTATATAAGAAGAGATAATCGCCGATTCGTTTCTCATAAAGGTTACCTTAGGGCTAAAGGAGTAAATAATAGATTTCAAAGAGATTTTCAAAGTACTGATAATTGATTTTTCGTCGATTTACGGGCTTTAAAGAGAACTTCGAGATTTTTGATTGACATGAAAAAGCTATTATTGTTAAAAAATTAGATATGAAGTTCGCCGAATTTTGTTTTGCCAGAATCTAATTAGATTTAGAATTTGCCTGAATCAAAATACCATAAGAAAGATCTGGAAAATGGAAGTACCAAGATATTTGGTCGATTGTGCCGATACATTACTGCATCCATGTTCTTTGAATAATCTTTTTTGAACAACATAAATCAGTTCTAAATCGACCAGAAATCGGGTGAAATTTAGTTTATACAGTACAGTGTAGTTTCATCGATGTCATATCTCAATTTGGTGAATGGATCACATACAAGGCTAAAAAAGTTCAAAACTTTTGATCATTAATTTAATTGATTAATTGATGATATTTGATTGATTTTTCTTTCACACATATTATCTTTTAGGTCTTTAAATAGTTCAACAAAATCATCAAAAGTTCTCTTAACTTTACAAGTGACAATTTGATAAAAAATTAGTAAAATACTTCAGTAAAAAGTTTTTCTTGACCATCATCCAGTTTCGATTCAATAAAATTGTAGAGAGATTAATCAATTAATCTAACCTATTCATCACCACAGAAAATTAAATTGTCGAAGTTGTTAAATAATTGATATACCGGTGAACGATTCTGAGTTTTCATTTATCAATAAACTTCTACGTTATTGAGGTTTCAACTGTTCAAAGTGATTACCTTGTTATCGAGATTAGTTTCACTTGCTGTTAGAGGGTCAAGGTGAATAACTCAAAGTTCAGCTAGAAATTTTGTTCAAGAACAAATCGATCAGTTTATTTTTACCACGAGCCAGGACATGCGAAAATTCAAATCGATTGGTCAAACTTATCGATTAGACATGAAAATATTTCCAAAGGATTTGATTTTATGAGTAACTGTTTTCTTAAATCTTTTTCACAACTTCCAAGGCTTATGGATAATCTTGATTAATCAATAAACGATTTAAATTTTAATCCAATTCTAATATTAATTGTCATTAAGAGAGAGAGAGGGGGGGCGAAAGATCATAAAAAATTGGTTAATCCAGTTAACAAATCAAAAAGCCAATTCTTCACAATTAAACTTGACAATCAGCTCAGCGCTGATTTACTCTAATTAAATGATACCCACTTTTAATTGCAATTTATCAAAAGTCTCACACTAATTGTCTACGTGTGTTATATTTTCTATCATTTTATTAGAGTAAACATAATAATATAATTACTATTTAATTGCTGTAATAATGGAAATAATTTCATCCTTTTTACCCTTACATGTTGTACATGTAGTCTTTTGCTCATTCAAATATCAAGGTAAAAGATTATCAATCAACCTAATCCAAAGAAAGGTTAAATTTACTCTAATCTTTGTTTTCTTTAAGTAAACAAGTTCAAGGATAATCTTTGGGTTAGATTAGGTCATTAGTAATAATAATAGTTTTCTCAGTTAATCTTAACCTTATTGTTTAAAATTGAATTGATGCCAAGGAAAATATTATCTGAGGTTTGAAGAAATGGGAACATTTAGTTGATTAACTAAATCTAATTACAATTAACTTTCTGTTACTGGTTAATGATGAAATCTAATATTGGACACATTGAATTGCTCTCTAATTGTCCTAATGATAATTTTGATTTTATCTTTAAAATAGAGATAGAGGGTTAATCTAATCCAATAGAAATATTTTACCACAATTAAGATAATCTTATACAATTGCAGAAAGTAATTGAATATTAACCTTGAAGTGATGAGAAGAAAAAATCATCAATGATTTAAAAGAACGAGAATTACATTAATAGTAAATCTAATTATCTTCATTAACGCTTCTTTATTGTAATGGTTACTAAATTGTTCATCGATTTAATAACAAACTGTGGTTTCGTTTATATTAATACGATAAAATTGATTGGATTTAAAGATTTTAATTGTTTCCATTTTGTTGGATTAACTTGGATCATTTAGTGATTTCTTTTTCTACTTTAAACTTTTCCTAATCAACTTTTGTTTCCATAAAGTTAATTTGTTTTAATTGTGTTGAGTGGTGAATTATCTTGGTGATAAAAACAAGTGTATGTTTATGATAATGATGATGATGATGATGTGAGGGTGGGGATATGTGATTATGATTAAGAATATGAGATAATCTCAAGTTAAATGAATATTTTTCTCAATCCCCTTGTGTAAATCAAGTTGCATCTAATTTTTTTCTTTTGTTTTTACAATTCCAATCAACTTGCCTCCTTTTTTTGCTGCCTTTTTATTAATCTTCATTTGATGAGTGAAATTGTTCACAATTAACAAACTAGTATTATCCTAATCTGATTGTCTGTTCAACTTGATTGGTGATTAATCACCAATAACCAAATGGATTTACCAGAGTTAATTACTAAGCCGAGTCGTTATGATGAAGCTTCACTCTTATCAAAGGCAACATTTTGGTAAGTAATATTTAAATGTTTACAATTTCAACTGGGTCAACTTTTCATTACTGACCATCGGGTGACCTTTAACCACTTTACAGGTGGAATGCACCAACATTACGAGTTGGAATGAGTCGCGAGCCGACTAAAGATGACCTGTACAAAGGTCCTGATGTGGACGAATCATTTAAAGCAACAGTTGAATTTGAAAGGTAAATCAAAATCCTACCAAAAAGTATCAGCTGATTTAATCATTGGTTTTTCATTTAAATTAACAGAAATTGGGATCGAGAAATTAAAGATTCTAAATTAGCAAAGAAACAACCAAGTTTACTCAAAGCGATTATTAAAACCTATGGATTATCAACCATTTTCAATGGGATTCTATTAACTATCGATGTAAGTAATTAAATATTATCATGTAGATAGTTTTTTTCTTATCTTTCATAATAATAAAACCATTGAGTCTTTTCCCTAATGATTAACTGGTATAATCGCTCTGATTTATCATGAATCAATATTGACTTAGTGGTTCTCACTTGACTTGACTGTACTATCATTTGATTGTAACTAATAATTGTTACCAATCGATTAAAAGGATTAGAGATAAGCTTAATGATGGATAATCTCTCAGGATTAATACTTTTCTATTGTTTTCCATAGGATACGTTAAACTTGGTTCAAACTTTCCTCCTTGGATCAATAGTTAGATACTTTTCGAAGCAAAATTACACCAATGTGACATTCAATGAATGTTTAATATGTTCTATTGGATTAGTGTTGACCATTTTCTCTTATGGATTAATCCGACATCATGTTATCATGTTAACCCAACGACAAGGATTAAGAATTCGAACTGCATTAACTGCGGTTGTTTATAAAAAGGTAAACTTTTCTTCTTTCGATAAGTTGAAAAATATATTCTAACCAGTCTAATATTTTCGTATTAGATATTAACACTTAGTCGAGCTGCAACAACCAGAACGGACATTGGTTATATTCTGAATATACTGACCAATGATTTAACAAGATTCGATGAGGTGAGTTACCTTTTAATTTTTCACACAAAAAGAAGAAAAATTTTCTTATTAATCTTTTTCCCCCTGCAGCTCATGTTTACCATTATCTATGTTGTTCTTGGTCCCTTGATGGCGATCGCTGTTCTAATTTATATGATCCATGTAATTGGATTAGCGAGTCTTGGATTAGTATTAATTTTGGTTCTTCTCATTCCATATCAAGCAGTTACTGCCAAATATTCAGACAAATTCAGGTAAATTTGATTGAGAAAAATTGATCACAATCCTTTAACTATTATTTAAACCTAATATAAATTTGTTACCAAGTTGAAAAGCATTCTAATTATCAAATTCAATCAATTAATTACAGAGGACAAACAGCCAAGTTAACTGATAAACGAATCAAGTTAATGGAGGAAATGATATCAGCAATTAAGATAATTAAAATGTTTACATGGGAAAAATCATTTGCTGATATAATTTCATCAATTCGAAAGTGAGTTCATTTATTATTAATCTGATCAAATCAAATTACTCTTATTGTTAATTAATTATTGGAATCTAATCAATTTAACCAGGCAAGAAATGTCAAAGATTCGTAATGCAGCAATTCTGAAATTGATGAATATCTCCGTTCATGCATCTGCACCACGTATCATGCTTTTTTCATGCCTCGTTTTCCACGTGCTCCTCGGTAGACCTTTGACCCCAGAATTGGCCTTTATCACTTTATCACTGTGCAATGCTCTAAGACTACCAGTTACTTTTCACATAGGTAATTCAGTTGGCTTACTTTTTGAAACTTTGGTTTCAATTAGAAGGACTCAGGTACAGGGGGAAGAATAACAAATCGAAAAGATTATCTTTAGATATTCATTAACCATAATTGATTATGGTTTTCAATGAATTTTTTCCTTGTACTCATCGATTCATTAATTCTGGTTTGTTTTTTCGTCCTCGCAGGAACTTTTATTATTGGATACAAGGCAAACCATGAGCTTGACCAGTAGTGAAGACTTATCAACACCCAAAGGAACAATTTCGATCAACAATTACCATGGAAAATGGGATAAGGTATATAACTTTTTCCCCCAATCGTTTAAGGTGAAAACTGAAAGACTAAATCATATAAATTTAACTTTACTTTCAGAACTCGAATATAATTAATCTTAAAAATGTTTCATGTAAACTGAATCCTGGTGAATTATTGGTTGTCATTGGAACCGTTGGATCGGCTAAGGTAAATAAGAGCTGTATATAAGTTTCGTTAGGTGAATAATGTTAATCTCTTTTTATTTTTTCGCACGAACTTTAGACTTGTCTTGTAATGGCTCTTCTTGAAGAGATCGCAACAGTTTCTGGGACATGTAAAGTTTTCGGAAGAAAAGCTTATTCACCACAAGAATCTTGGACTTTTTCTGGAACAATTAGACAAAATATTTTATTTGGAAGAGAATATTCAGAATCTAAATATCGTAAAGTAATCGAGGTTTGCTCTTTAAAAAAGGACATTAAATCTTTCCCTTACGGAGATAACACTCTTGTAGGAGAAAAGGGATATTCTCTAAGTGGTGGACAAAAAGCTCGAATTACTCTTGCAAGGTCAGTATCATACCAATTTAGACATGTTCGAATCTCGAGTTACATTGACCATTTCCTCTTGATCTCATTACCATTAATAGAGCAGTTTATGAAGACGCCGATGTCTATCTTCTTGATGATCCATTAAGTGCCGTTGATCCTGGAGTAGCTGAACATCTTTTCGATAAGTAAGTAAACTATTGATCCTATTTTCGAATTGCGATTTTTAAATTTATTCTGTAATTGATAGATGCATCAATGGTTATCTGAAAGCGAAAACAAGAGTCTTGATTACTCATCAATTACAATTCTTAAAGCGAGCAGATAAAATTCTCATTATGAATGAAGGCGAATCAATTGCTTTTGGTACATTCAAACAATTGAATAATATTGGAATAGATTTTATCAAGTTTCTTAAAGAAACGGAGACGGAAACACCAATTCAGCGAGCTGATGAAATGTTGTCAATTGATGAGCTTTATGATGGACCTAAAGGTGAACAGAAAACTTCAGCGAGAGGACTCAAGCAGGTCAACTCGTTAATGCTTGGAGATGATACAGATATTAGTAAAATCATAAGCCAACAAATGGAGCTAAAGGAGGAAAAGCTTACCTTTGGTACTTTGGGTGGTCGAGTTTATCGAGAATATTTCTTAGCTGGTGGAAATATCGTCTTTATTGTAATCTTCTTAATGACAACTTGTTTATCTCAAGCGATAATTAACTATGCCGATTGGTGGATATCTGAATGGTCAGATGATTCCCTCGCTCTTTCTGAATCATATAATGAAACCGTGGCCGGAATCGATTTCAAAGAATATTCTAGACCTTTTATATCGAGAAATGCAACAATCTATTCGTGTGTCATGTTAGCGTTACTAATCTCAGTGTTCATACGACTTGGAATGAACTATCGAATTTGTCTCAAAGCTTCAGAAACTTTACACAATAGAATATTTGCTCGATTACTTCGAACACCATTAAATTTTTTCGAAAACAATCCAGTTGGTAAGTAATAAAAATCTTAATTTCTAATCAAAGAATAGAATAAAATTTTTCATTGACTGTATGTCTTGATCATCATTCTTACTCGTAGGTCGTATATTAAATAGATTCACTCGTGATATGGGAATAATTGATGTTCAAATCGCTAATAACTTAGTATTCATGAATTTGGTGAGTAAATTGATTTCATAGAACTTTGATTTCAAATTAATTAATTTGATTGTTTTGTTTTTCTTAGAACCTTTTACAAATTGTTGGTGTAATCGTAATCACCGGCATCGTATTGCCGATTGTTATTATTGTTGCGATTGTTGTTGTATTCGTAATGTGGTTTGTACGAAAAGTATACTTACAAACAGCTCGATACATCGTTAGATTGGAAGCTCAAAGTGAGTTTATTTTCTACATTAATTTAGATGAACAATTAATTTTCATTTTTTTTTTATAATTTAAACAGCGAGATCACCGATTTACAATCAAGTTGCGACAACTTATGAAGGATTAACCACAATCAGAGCGTTTCAATATGAAGCTAAATTCATTCGACAACTTTATCGGCTCATGAATGATAACAATTCTTGTAAATTTATGTACTTTGGGGTTAGTCGATTGATTGGAATGAGCCTTGATTTATCGATTATTTTTCTACTTGCAACGATTCTCATCTCGGTACTTTCGTTTCCTGATAAATTTCCAGGAGGTGAAGTCGGACTGGTAATCTCAACATTATTATCAGTCTTTGGTTCCCTTCAATATGGTATAAGGTTAACGGCTGAATTTGAGACAAACATGATCTCAGTTGAAAGAGTTCTTGAATATGATAAACTACCATTGGAACCATCATGGCAAACACTAAAAGCCAATTTATTACCCAAAAACTGGCCTGTTGTCGGTAACATTAGATTTAATAATGTTTTCCTAACTTATCCTGGTTCAGTAAAACCAGTATTGAAAAGTTTGACCTTCAATGTTTCGGGAGGTGAAAAGATCGGTATCGTTGGTCGAACCGGTGCTGGAAAAAGCTCACTGATTTCGGTGCTGTTTAGATTAACTGAATTTGAAGGTAACATTTCAATCGATGGTGTAGATATACAAGAACTTGGACTACATGATTTGAGGAATAAAATTTCAATCATTCCTCAAGATCCACTTCTTTTTACGGGAACCATTCGTAGTAATCTTGATCCACTCGACGAATATACCGAAGACTTTATCTGGTCAACCCTTAAAGCCGTAAATCTTTCACGGACAATCGAGTCTATGCCTGGTGGTTTAGATGCAATAGTAACTCAAGGTGGATCTAATTTAAGTTTAGGACAACGACAATTACTTTGTCTTATTCGAGCTCTTTTACAACGGAATCGCATAATGATCTTGGACGAAGCTACTGCAAATATGGACCATCAAACTGATTCACTGATTCAGGAAACAATTAGGAAAGAGTTTAAAGACTGTACAGTCCTAACTGTAGCTCATCGACTAAATACAATAATCGACATGGACAAGATCATCTTATTGGACGCTGGTCAATTGATTGAATATGGAGAACCATATTTACTCTTGAAAGATGAAAATAGTCACTTTAAATCATTAGTTTCTAAAACTGGCCCTTCATATGCTAAAATGTTATTCACTATTGCTGAGAAATCTTATCTAATGAAACATCCATCACAATCTGATGAAGAATTGAAATCTTAATTGATTAATCTTAAATTACATGTAAAACCGAAAAGTATCTCCAACAATAATCAACAATTAGAATAAACAAACTCGAAGGTTATAACTATTAACTATTGAAGTTGTCTTTGTTGATTATTTTCAATGTTCTGTTTTCTTATTGCAAGAACAGAGATTGATAAATCGTGTGTACTTGCAATCAGAATAGTTCTTAGTTTCTAGCAATAGATAATTATAAACTTTACTATGTGAAAGTCAAAAATTTAAGCTAATCAATATCAAGATCATCAATTAAAATTCAACAATCAAGCACGTCCGCTTAATTAATTTACAACTTTAACCCGTTCTTGTGGTATTAAAACCTTAATGCTTCTCAATTTGATTAGATAAAGTAACATAATATCTTATGTTTTACTAAGGATTAATCTCAAAGGACCTCAAACCTTATCATAATTAGATTAAGATGACAAGTAATTAAAACAAAAAAAGTAGAGTAATATACCAACTGATTGAAGAATCAGATAAGTTTTTTATCATTACAATGATTATCTCGACAAATTACAATTATAACCAATAGATTGTCATTGAACAATGAGATTAGCTCACTAACAAGTATTAATACTTGAAGTACTACAAAAAAATAGTCATAACTGTTTGTAAGATAAAATTGTCACTTAATTGCTAAATAATAAAGTTGATGAGTTGCAACAAGTAGAATGGATCAACCAGAGACAATCACTAATCCATGCTGTTATGATGAAGCTAATTTCCTATCAAAGATTTTTTTCTGGTAAGTTAATCTTTTCTTATAATTTTAGTCGATAAATCATCATTAATTTAGACCAATATTAAATTAAAGGTGGAACTTTAACCTAATTCGAATTGGCTTGAAACGTGAACCGACTAAAGATGATTTATATAAATGTCCTAGTGCCGACGAGTCGTTTAAAACGACAACTCAACTCGAAAAGTAAGTAATCTTATTCTAAAGTCATTTAGTGACAATCAATCAATTCTAATACAATTTTCTTTACCAATTAATAGAAATTGGGAGCATGAGATTCGTTATGCTAAATCGAAGGACAAAGACCCAAGTTTACTTAAAGCGATCATTAAAACTCATGGATTGACGACAATAGTTCACGGAATTTTATTAACGATCAATGTGATTAATCGATTAGATCTATGGCATTAATCGTAGATTTGCTGAAAATTTTTCTTTTAATCATTCAGGATACATTGAATTTGGTGCAAACTTTTCTCCTTGGATTTATTGTTCGATACTATTCGACTGATAATTATACTAATGTGACCTACAGGCAATGCTGCTTTTACTCTTTCGGCTTAGTACTCGCTATCCTAGGCTATGGTGTACTTCGTCATCAGCTGTTTCTATCAACTTCGAGACAAGGACTTAGAATGAGAACTGCACTCACAGCATTAGTTTACAAAAAGGTAACTACAAAATAAACTCTCACGAAATAATATCATTAATGCCACACAAATTTGATAGCTGTTATCAATGAGCCGAGCGGCCTCAACGAAAACTGATATTGGTTATATGCTGAATTTGATATCAAATGATCTTTCACGTTTCAATGATGTAAGTCAATTCTTTAAACTTAAATGCTTTGAATTGTATGTTCTATCAATCATCAAATCATCGAACCAATTATTCTTATTAGTTAATGTTTAGTGTTATTTACATTGTCTTGGGACCGTTAATTGCGACTGCAGTTTTGCTTTACATGATTTACCTTCTTGGAGTTGCGAGCCTTGGATTAGTTTTTGTACTTTTGTTTCTGATGCCGTTTCAAGTGCTCTGTGGAAAATATTCTGATAAGTTTAGGTAATTTAATTTAGGTATTCAAAACTCATTTAATTAGACCTTGAAAGATGCTCTTTTTGTTAAATCGTTATTAGAGGGAAAACTGCACTTATATCGGAAAAACGAATAAAATCTATGGAGGAAATGATTTCATCGATAAAAATTATCAAAATGTTCACATGGGAGCAATCGTTTGCTGAAATTGTCTCAATTATAAGAAAGTAAGCCAAATATTGTTAAATATTGTGCTTGAAATAATTATAGATTTGTCTTGTGTAAATGAAGAAAAGAAATGGAGCTAATTGGTAAATCAGCGCTTCTCAAACTTTTGAACATTATGGCTCATGCATCGGCTACGAGAATTATGATATTTTCATGTCTTGTATTGCATGTTCTTCTTGGTCGACCCTTGACACCAGAATTAGCATTTGTTACAGTATCTTTATGTAATTCACTGAGAGCAGCGATCACCTATCATATTAATAAAGGAGTTGGACTTTTTTTTGAAACACTAGTTTCAATAAGAAGAACTCAGGTAAATTAGTTTAAGTTATTCTCATCTTTTATCAATTATTATTGAAAGATCGACTGAGAACTCTGATAACTGTTTTTTTTCAATAGGAATTTCTTCTGATAGATGACACTGAAAGTATAAGTCAACCAACTAACTGTATCATTAATGAAATACATCCAAAAGGTTCGGTAATTCTTGATAAATATGGTGGTAAATGGGATAAAGTAAGTTAATGAATCTATAAGACTATTTTCGATGATTGCTTTCTAAATAAAACTTATACATGTATTGATGATTAAGAACTTAAATATTGACCATTTGAAAGATGTGTCATTGAAATTGGAGCCTGGTGAATTATTACTGGTCATTGGTACGGTTGGTTCATCCAAAGTGAGTTTAGAAATCGAAACTCTAACTGATCTTATAAAAATTACAAGTAATTTCCTCCTCTCTTTATTAGACATGCTTAATGATGGCTCTTCTTGATGAGATTGTAACCGTATCAGGATCGTGTATTGTTTCTGGAAAAAAATCTTATTCACCTCAAGAATCATGGACATTTGCTGGGACCATAAGACAGAACATTTTATTTGGTCGAGATTATAATGAGAAAAGATATCGAAAAGTAATTGACGTTTGCTCATTGAGAAAAGACCTAAAATCATTTCCATATGGAGACAATACTTGGGTTGGAGAGAAAGGTTATACTCTTAGTGGCGGTCAGAAAGCAAGAGTCACTCTCGCAAGGTCAGTACCATTTCAGTTTATTTTATGTACATTTTTCAATCGGCAGTTAGATTGACCATTTTCCCGAAATCTCATTACCATTAACAGAGCAGTTTATGAAGATGCAGATGTTTATCTTCTTGATGATCCATTAAGTGCCGTTGATCCTGGAGTAGCTGAACATCTTTTCGATAAGTAAGTAAACTATTGATCCTATTGTCGAATTGTGATTTTTAATTTTATTCTGTAATTGATAGATGCATCAATGGTTATCTCAAAGAAAAAACAAGAGTCTTGATTACTCATCAATTACAATTCTTAAAGCGAGCAGATAAAATACTCATCATGAATGAAGGTCAAGCATTGGCTTTTGGTACATTCAAGGAGTTGAATAATATTGGAATAGATTTCATCAAGTTTCTTAAAGAATCAAATGAAATTGAAACGAATAATCAGAAATCAGAGGAAATGTTATCGATTGATGAACTTTATGGATTACCAACACCATCACGATTAACCAAAACACAATCGAAAACATTGACACAAGTTAATTCCTTACAATTTATGGATCCATTAGATGAAATTTCGATCATTGAGAAACAAATGGAACAACGTGAAGAAAAAATCTCATTTGGTTCTCTTAAAGGTCGAGTTTATTTGGATTATCTTTTAGCTGGTGGAAACTTAATATTCATCAGTATTTTCCTAATAACATCATTCGCATCTCAAGGAATCATAAATTATGTCGATCTTTGGTTATCTAATTGGTCAGATGAGTCGCTTTTATTATCACAATCATTCAATGAAACATTGGATGGAATGAGTTTCAAAGAATATTCTAAACCTTTTGTTACAAGAAATGGTTTAATCTATTTGGGATTAATTATATTTTTATTAATTGGAGTTTTTATTAGACTTGGAATGAACTATCGAATTTGTTTGAAAGCTTCTGAAACTTTACACAATAGAATATTCAGTAAATTGTTACGAACACCATTAAGTTTCTTTGAAAATAATCCTGTGGGTAAGCATAATACAACATTCTTGTTTTATAATTTAAAAGTGCAATTTTATGAATAATACTTGAATACTCAATTAATCTTGAATTGGTCCAAATAACTTTTAGGTCGGATATTAAACAGGTTCACTCGTGATGTCGGAATCATTGACGCAATCATCCCAACGGAAATCGTTTATTGTAATGTGGTAAGTTGGTGTTTTTTATTTTTCTTTTTCATCCATACCTTTAACTGGTTTATCAATTTCTAAAACATTAGGATCTATTGGAAACCATTGGCCTTATAACTGTAACATCAATAATTCTACCCGTCGTCATTATACTCGCAGTTGCCATTGCTTTTATTACTGTGTTCGTAAGGCAAATATATACAAGATTAGCACGATACATCTTTAGAGTTGAAGGGCAAAGTAAGTCGACCAATCGTAAACTTCAATTTACGCTCGGAATGCTGTATTAATATCAAACTAATTAATATCAATTCAATATTCAATATGCATGATAACTGTTGGAAAGAAAGTTCATAATAATAAGTTAATAATCAAAGCATCTTTTTCTTTTTGATTTCATCAATAAAGCCAGGTCACCAATCTATAATCAAATCGCTTCAACATACGAAGGTTTAGTTACAATAAGGACATTCAGCTATGAGTCTCGATACATGAAACAATTTTATCACCATTTAAATGACAATAATGCTTGTATATTCATGAATTTTGGTGCGAGTCGAACTATCGGAATGATACTTGATTTGGTTATGGTTATGTTAATGATCATAATAATGACCACTGTTTTAACTTTTGATACAAAGTTTGGTGGCGGGGACATTGGATTAATTATATCAACGATGATTTCTCTTTTTGGGACACTTCAATATGCCGTTAAATCAACAGCTGAACTTGAGACATATATGATAGCAGTCGAAAGAGTCCTCGAGTATGGTGATTTACCTTCTGAACCTTCATGGAAAACTGTCAAGTCTAACTTGTTACCTTCAATATGGCCTGATGTTGGAAACATTAAGTTTGATAGCGTTTACTTTACCTATCCAGGATCAGTTAGTCCAGTTTTGAAAAATTTAACTTTCGATATTAAAGGAGGAGAAAAGATTGGTATTGTTGGTCGAACTGGTGCCGGAAAAAGTTCATTAATATCAGTGTTGTTTCGATTGTCAGAGTTTCAAGGAAATGTTCTAATTGACGGTATTGACATTCAACAACTTGGTTTACATGATTTACGAAAGAAAATATCCATAATACCACAAGATCCACTTCTTTTTACTGGAACAATTCGTAGTAATCTTGATCCATTAAGTGAACAATCAGATGAATCCATTTGGTCAACCCTTAAAGCCGTAAATCTTTCACGGACAATCGAGTCTATGCCTGGTGGATTAGATGCAATAGTAACTCAAGGTGGATCTAATTTAAGTTTAGGACAACGACAATTACTTTGTCTTATTCGAGCTCTTTTACAACGGAATCGCATAATGATATTGGACGAAGCTACTGCAAATATGGACCATCAAACTGATTCACTGATTCAGGAAACAATTAGAAAAGAGTTTAAAGACTGTACTGTCCTAACTGTAGCTCATCGACTAAATACAATAATCGACATGGACAAGATCATCTTATTGGACGCTGGTCAATTGATTGAATATGGAGAACCATATTTACTCTTGAAAGATGAAAATAGTCACTTTAAATCATTAGTTTCTAAAACTGGCCTTCATATGCTAAAATGTTATTCACTATTGCTGAAATCTTATCTAATGAAACATCCATCACAATCTGATGAAGAATTGAAATCTTAATTGATTAATCTTAAATTACATGTAAAACCGAAAAGTATCTCCAACAATAATCAACAATTAGAATAAACAAACTCGAAGGTTATAACTATTAACTATTGAAGTTGTCTTTGTTGATTATTTTCAATGTTCTGTTTTCTTATTGCAAGAACAGAGATTGATAAATCGTGTGTACTTGCAATCAGAATAGTTCTTAGTTTCTAGCAATAGATAATTATAAACTTTACTATGTGAAAGTCAAAAATTTAAGCTAACCAATATCAATGGATCAACCAGAGACAATCACTAATCCATGCTGTTATGATCAAGCTAATTTCCTATCAAAGATTTTTTCCTGGTAAGTTAATCTTTTCTTATAATTTTAGTCGATAAATCATGGTGGAAATAATAATTTTCTTGATACAATTTATTCTGGAAGACTGTTGATTGTGATTCCTTACTTTTTCGATCAATTCGATAATGCAAAACGGGGCGTTGATTGCGGAATAGGAAGACGATTAAATCCTTGGGACTTGGATGAGAAAAATGTCCTTGCCACAATAGAAGAGACATTAAATAATCACGAAATGAGCAAGAAGATTGAAGAGATCGCTGCTTCAATGAGATCTAATAAAACTCAAGAAAAAAGCAGTCCAGAAGCAGTCAGAAAAATTCCATAGAAAAAATTAAACAGTCATAATAACCTAAATATCCATTGATAATGATTAGACAACATAAGAAATAGGAGTTAAAACAAATGTAACACAACCTTGTTAATTAGCCGTTACTATGTAATTTTCAATTGAACCATGGCACAAAAATCACAGTTTTAAATAAACTGCAATGTGTTAAAGGACATCAATTTTATAGCTGCGTATATTTATATCAATAATTAATACATTTATTGTTGAAAGATTTCCGATTGAATCATAATACATTACATGCATAAAGACAAAGACTTTTGGTCAGTCATAGCAATTTTGACTTCTGAAAATGGCTATTATATTTTTTTTCATAATTACCATGCGAAAATAACATGTCTAGAATTAAACCTTGAATTAATAGCATTTTGAAAGTTCTTGAACCGAATGATTAAATACTACTATTCAATTTCCCGACTTGCCTGAGTCAATATATTGTATGAATTTTAACCTTTAATAATTAAGTCATAGTGTAGACGACTTTGAATTGAAATTCAACACAGAACGAGAAAGTTTTAATAACAATCATGAGAACTGTAAACTTTGTTTATTCTGTAAAAACTGACGCGAACTCAATAACAGTTCTGGAGTATAAACTGTTTACACAACTGTTGTATCTAGTCGTATAAAAGCCGAAAGCAAAAGATGAAATTTATCAGTCAACGTTCAATAACTTACCTTATAAGAACAAATCATCTAAACCTACAATGCAAACCTTAACCAAACTAATTCCTTTAATTGTGATTGTATGTTCAATATACAACAATGTCTCTGCTTTGAGTATGTTCGGAAAGCCATCTAACAACAACAAAGATGGGTCTATTAGTGTTGCCATGAATCTTTTTGGAAAAAATGGTGGCCCAAAGATACCGACAGACACTGCTTCTTCGTCTGCCAAATCGATGTCTTCTGCCTCTTCAATGTCCGAAGCAGGATCCAAAAGTTCACCCATAGAATCAACCAGCTCCGAACCAGCAACCCCATATGACGAACAACCTGCTAAACCATCATCTGATAAAAGCTACTCCACATCAAATGCTGACGATTCTGATGACTCCGAAGATGACACAGATGATGCAGAAGAAACTGTGCAGTCACCAACAGGTGATTCAAACACCTCATCCGGTTCATCATCAGGCTCATCAGGAGCTTCTACCGCTTCTACTGCCAATAACTCAAATTCATCATCATCAGGATCTGCTAACGGTTCATCAGGATCATCATCTGCTGCTACCGGTAATGGCTCTGCTGCTGCTTCAGGTTCATCAACTGGTTCATCATCTGGTACATCATCTGGTTCAGGATCTGCTAACTCATCATCATCAGGCTCATCAGGCGCATCATCATCCGGTTCATCATCCGGTTCATCATCAGGCTCATCAGGAGCTTCTACCGCTTCTACTGCCGGTAACTCAAATTCATCATCATCAGGATCTGCTAACGGTTCATCAGGATCATCATCTGCTGCTACCGGTAATGGCTCTGCTGCTGCTTCAGGTTCATCAACTGGTTCATCATCTGGTACATCATCTGGTTCAGGATCTGCTAACTCAGCATCATCAGGCTCATCAGGCGCATCATCATCCGGTTCATCATCCGGTTCATCATCAGGCTCATCAGGAGCTTCTACCGCTTCTGCCGGTAAATTCATCATCATCATCAGGATCTGCTAACGGTTCATCAGGATCATCATCTGCTGCTACCGGTAATGGCTCTGCTGCTGCTTCAGGTTCATCAACTGGTTCATCATCTGGTACATCATCTGGTTCAGGATCTGCTAACTCAGCATCATCAGGCTCATCAGGCGCATCATCATCCGGTTCATCATCGGTTCATCATCAGGCTCATCAGGAGCTTCTACCGCTTCTACTGCCGGTAACTCAAATTCATCATCATCAGGATCTGCTAACGGTTCATCAGGATCATCATCTGCTGCTACCGGTAATGGCTCTGCTGCTGCTTCAGGTTCATCAACTGGTTCATCATCTGGTACATCATCTGGTTCAGGATCTGCTATCATCATCAGCTCATCAGGCTCATCAGGCTCATCAGGCGCATCATCATCCGGTTCATCATCAGGCTCATCAGGAGCTTCTACCTTCTACCGGTAACTCAAATTCATCATCATCAGGATCTGCTAACGGTTCATCAGGATCATCATCTGCTGCTACCGGTAATGGCTCTGCTGCTGCTTCAGGTTCATCAACTGGTTCATCATCTGGTACATCATCTGGTTCAGGATCTGCTAACTCAGCATCATCAGGCTCATCAGGCGCATCATCATCCGGTTCATCATCCGGTTCATCATCAGGCTCATCAGGAGCTTCTACTGCTTCTACTGCCGGTAACTCAAATTCATCATCATCAGGATCTGCTAACGGTTCATCAGGATCATCATCTGCTGTGGCTCTGCTGCTGGGTTCATCAACTGGTTCATCATCTGGTACATCATCTGGTTCAGGATCTGCTAACTCAGCATCATCAGGCTCATCAGGCGCATCATCATCCGGTTCATCATCCGGTTCATCATCAGGCTCATCAGACCTACCGCTTCTGCCGGTAACTCAAATTCATCATCATCAGGATCTGCTAACGGTTCATCAGGATCATCATCTGCTACCGGTAATGGCTCTGCTGCTGCTTCAGGTTCATCAACTGGTTCATCATCTGGTACATCATCTGGTTCAGGATCTGCTAACTCAGCATCATCAGGCTCATCAGGCGCATCATCATCCGGTTCATCATCCGGTTCATCATCAGGCTCATCAGGAGCTTCTACCGCTTCTACTGCCGGTAACTCAAATTCATCATCATCAGGATCTGCTAACGGTTCATCAGGATCATCATCTGCTGCTACCGGTAATGGCTCTGCTGCTGCTTCAGGTTCATCAACTGGTTCATCATCTGGTACATCATCTGGTTCAGGATCTGCTAACTCAGCATCATCAGGCTCATCAGGCGCATCATCATCCGGTTCATCATCAGGCTCATCAGGAGCTTCTACCGCTTCTACTGCCGGTAACTCAAATTCATCATCATCAGGATCTGCTAACGGTTCATCAGGATCATCATCTGCTGCTACCGGTAATGGCTCTGCTGCTGCTTCAGGTTCATCAACTGGTTCATCATCTGGTACATCATCTGGTTCAGGATCTGCTAACTCAGCATCATCAGGCTCATCAGGCGCATCATCATCAGGCTCATCATCAGGCTCATCAGGAGCTTCTACCGCTTCTACTGCCGGTAACTCAAATTCATCATCATCAGGATCTGCTAACGGTTCATCAGGATCATCATCTGCTGCTACCGGTAATGGCTCTGCTGCTGCTTCAGGTTCATCAACTGGTTCATCATCTGGTTCAGGATCTGCTAACTCAGCATCATCAGGCTCATCAGGCGCATCATCATCCGGTTCATCATCCGGTTCATCATCAGGCTCATCAGGAGCTTCTACCGCTTCTACTGCCGGTAACTCAAATTCATCATCATCAGGATCTGCTAACGGTTCATCAGGATCATCATCTGCTGCTACCGGTAATGGCTCTGCTGCTGCTTCAGGTTCATCAACTGGTTCATCATCTGGTACATCATCTGGTTCAGGATCTGCTAACTCATCATCATCAGGCTCATCAGGCTCATCAGGCTCATCAGGCGCATCATCATCCGGTTCATCATCAGGCTCATCAGGAGCTTCTACCGCTTCTACTGCCGGTAACTCAAATTCATCATCATCAGGATCTGCTAACGGTTCATCAGGATCATCATCTGCTGCTTCAGGTTCATCAACTGGTTCATCATCTGGTACATCATCTGGTTCAGGATCTGCTAACTCATCAGCTCATCAGGCGCATCATCATCCGATCATCATCCGGTTCATCATCAGGCTCATCAGGAGCTTCTACCGCTTCTACTGCGGTAACTCAAATTCATCATCATCAGGATCTGCTAACGGTTCATCAGGATCATCATCTGCTGCTACCGTAGGCTCTGCTGCTGCTTCAGGTTCATCAACTGGTTCATCATCTGGTACATCATCTGGTTCAGGATCTGCTAACTCAGCATCATCAGGCTCATCAGGCGCATCATCCAGTTCATCATCCGGTTCATCATCAGGCTCATCAGGAGCTTCTACCGCTACTGCCGGTAACTCAAATTCATCATCATCAGGATCTGCTAACGGTTCATCAGGATCATCATCTGCTGCTGCTACCGGTAATGGCTCTGCTGCTGCTTCAGGTTCATCAACTGGTTCATCATCTGGTACATCATCTGTTCAGGATCTGCTAACTCATCATCATCAGGCTCATCAATCAGGCTCATCGGCATCATCATCGGTTCATCATCGGTTCATCATCGGTTCATCATCAGGCTCATCGGAGCTTCTACCGCTTCTACTGCCGGTAACTCAAATTCATC